AATTAAGCATGTATATAGGGAAGTGAATGCTGTGGCAGAATCAGGCAGTACAGAAGGGGATTTCTGAGGATTTTTCGGTTAATCTTAGACTGCCTACTGCTGTGAAGAATGAGTTGTTGCAAAATCTGATGAGGGGATTGCCTGTCTTAAGAATAAAGAGGAGGGTGATTTTTGATGATAAAGGCTGAGGAAGGAGGATTGTTCAGCAGCAACATGGGATTGAGTGAGTGGATCAGCTGCATTGGTTTTGATTGTAGCAGGGTTGCTGCGTTGGTTGTATTTGCAGTCTTTGAGATTGTTTTTAATTCTTTTAATGTTTTGGTTTATTCATTTGTTTAAAGGAATGTTGTTTGCCTTTTCTATCATTGTATTCAATTTTGTGGAAATGAAATAAAGTGTTGATGTGTTTGAGAAAAAAAGGGGTGAGGGAGTAAGGTTTATTATTCTTTTGCTTCTTTTTCTCCACCTCATCAATCTTGTGCTATTTTGTTCCCTTATTGTTCTTTGTTTTTCTTTAGACTTTCATTTTTATATGCATAACTAATTTATTGTGTGTTTTCCTTTTCGTTATTTATGGAATGGTGTATTGCTTATGAAAGAATAAGAAGAGTTAAATTAGGTAGATATTGGTTTGCAAAGCGAGTTTAGAAATGAAAAGATAAGTGTATCTATTTGTCTCGGTTTTATTAACTTTTTTTTACATGTAAAATGTGTTTTAGAGATGATTATTTCTATTTCATTTTGTGTTTCTTACTTGTTATGATCATTCTTCTATTATTTCTGACCCCCAAGTCTCACTAACCCATAGTTTCCTTTTCATTTTTCGTTGTTTTCGTGTTTTACATAACTAATAATTGCATAGTATTTCTTTGCTTAAATGTGTTTTTTTTTTTTTGCTTTTTTAATAGATAAATTATATTTTATTTCTTTTTTTGTTATCTTTCTATTGAAGTTGTTAAATTTTAGCAAGAAAATTCAATTACTTGGGGAGGGAGTAAAAGGTTAAAGTATGGAGGAAAATTAGGAGTTTGTAGTACGTGGATGATACTAAGAATCTAGAATTCAAATAGGGTTTAGGGCTTGGAGGTTAGGGCTTAGAGTTTTGGGGTGTTGGTTTAAGGGTTGGGGGTTTAAGTAAATTTAGGCAAAAGCTGGAGGATTGGTACACTAAACTTTTGTCGAATATGGGTTGAATTCTGATGGTTCAGGCTGTGTTCTGAGTGCTGTCCCAGTGCACCTCTTGGCTTGCTTGAATATGCCAAAAGCTGTGATTGCTAAGCTGAATGCTATGATGGCAGGATTTATTTGGTCAAGCAAGAAGGAAAATAAGAGAAGGCATTGGGTTTGTTGGAGTAAGTTACATTACCTAAAGAAGGAGGAGGTCTGGGTTTGAGGAGGTTCAGGTTGCATTCAGGCTGAAGCAAGTCTGGAATATTATGCTGGGTTCTTCTTTGTGGGCTAAAATCTTTTCTACAAAATTCTGAAAGGGGAGGCATAGTTTGAGAAGTTTAGGTAAGGGTCGTGCAAAGTGTTATGAATCTTTAAGGCCTTTTTTTGAAAGAGTTGTGCTTCAGTCGAAAGCCATTATTGGGAATGGAGTTTCTGTTGATTTCTGGTATGATTGTTGGTTGAATGATGTGCCTTTGTTGCAAAGAATTGAGGGATCCCCTCAGTTTTTTTCTAAAATTTCTAAAGTGTCTGGACTCATCGGTGTTTGGGTGAGGTGGAGGAATTTTTGCCTGAACAGCTTAAAGGAGAAATTTTGAATTCTGATATTTCTTTGTCTGGTATCTCTGATAAATTAGTGTGGCGACAGACAAATGCTGGGGTTTTTTCTGTTAAATCAGCTTGTCAAGTGATTAGAAAGCAAGGGGTAAGGAATGAGGTTGCTGTTGCCATTTGGGGATTGAACACAGCCCCTAGTGCTATGCTGATTGGTTGGAAAATTCTGCTGGATGCTCTTCCTCTAGATTCTAGGATTCAGAGGTTGGGTATTCCAGTAGTTAGTGTTTGTTAAAACAGCGTGTGTGGTTTATATGTATTTGTTTCAATGATGGTGTGCATACATGCGTGTTTGTGTAGTAGTATGTGTATGTGTGCGTGTTTTGGTGAGTTAGTGTGCATGTTTTTTGGCATATTAGTGTGTATATTTTTTGATTTAAGGGGTGTGTGTGTTTTCATTAGCGTATGTGTATTCTTTTAATCAATGTGTTTTTATTTGCACAATGTGTATTTATTTTTATCAATTTTTTTTTTGGTATATAGGTTTTTATGTTTATTGCGTGTGGTTGTTGGCGTGTATGTTTTTATGATAGTGTGTTTGTATCTTTCTTTTTTCGAGTGTTTTTGTGTTTTGATTTGTATAACATGTGAGTGGTTATTACTTTGTTTTTTTTTATGTTATCGAACTATGTTTTTTTTTTGGGTACAAAGGAAAAGTTAGAGGGTTATCTAAACCCTCTAGCAAAGGTGATACATGAGAGATCATTCTTAAGGTACTGTCCCAACATAGGTTGTGGGATTTCAAAAAGCACAAAAGAATCCTATTGTAGCCCTCCCAGGCTTGCCATCTTGTCAGCGTAGAAATTTCCTTCTCTCACTGTGTGAAGAATGGGCGTATTAGTCAATTCCATTATGTGCTTGCAATTGGCTATGATATTTCTTTCGAGTTGGAGCCAACCTAGCAGTGATTAGGTTCAGGGCTTCCAAAGAGTCGGTTTCCATGATCACCTTCTTGAGGTTCTGTGTTTGTGTAATCTTGAGACCTTGATAAATAGCCCACAGTTCAGCTTGTAGACTAGTAGAGTCCTTTAGCTTCCCATAGAAATCTAGCTACCATCTTCTTTGGCCGTTCCTTAGTAGTCCTTCTATTGTAGCTGAGCTAGGGTTCGCTTTAGAGCTACCATCCACATTCATCTTCTTCCATCCCGCTGGAGGAAAAGACCAACCAATGAGAATAGGGGATTGGGTATCTCCTGGGTATGGGGTTCATTGAAAGCATCCCATGAATCCCGTGCCTGTCTCCAAGCTTTCTTAGCAATAACATGGGGGAGATTATTTGTGTTTCCCAAATATTCGTGATTTCTATCTTTCTGGATGTTTCATTTTAGTGAAGCAGAAAGAATAGGTTATTTCACTCCTCTCCAACAAATGTCCTTTCTAGCTTTACAGTTTTTAATGAGCCAATTTTGGAGGTCCATTGATTGATCCTGTTGGAGATCATTCCTATTAAGAAATGATCTCCAAACCGGATCAGCTTTCGGGCAGTCTCTGAGGATATGGATTGTGCTTTTGTTATGAGCCTTGCATCTCTCACAAGAAGGATCATTTGTGAAGTTGACCAACCACAGAAAATGTTTGTTTCTGTAGGACCTGAAACCATGATGCTGACTTGGATTAGGTATTTGTGTCAATGTATATGTGCCTCTTTATATGTTCGTGCTTATATTTTTATTACGTGTATATTTGTTGCTATATAACTATTTTAATATTTTTGACTCTTTGTTTACGGGTATATATATTTAGAGCATAAAAACACGTGTATGCTCCTATTTTAATATTTTTGACACAGGGTTTACATGTTCTAGTTTGTGTTTTTAAATATTAATAATGTATTTTCTTAATAATTGTGGTGGTTGTTTGAAAATTTTCACTAGTAGTAAAAAACTTGATTTAATTATCGTATTGTAAATAATCTTTAAATTTAGTAGTAATGAAAAAAGGATACACACACTAGTTTTCAAACTCCAATTAACTTGGTTGCAGAAATGGATGTGTATTGGTGGCATCTTGCATCACTTCACCCCATGAATTCAAAGTAAGGCGATGTAGCTAGGTGTTTGACAAAAGTCTAGACACTAAGTTCTCGTCGTTTTGTTTCATTGGTTCAGAAGATGTCCACTTAAGTCGCATCGGAAAACCTCCATAAAACATATATAGGGGGTGGTGATAGTTGAGGGGCACCAATGGTCCAGCTAGCCTTGTTCTCCCAAGCCTTGGCACCATTGGGCAAAACATAAGTATGTCTGTGTTTCTTTGGTGTATTAGTGTGTATGAACAGAACTTATGTTATTGTGTGTTTCTTTTTGGTATATTAGTAGGTATGTTTTAGTTTGTGTTTCTATAATAGTATGTTTTATTGTGTTTAGTTGTGTGGTGCAAAAGTATGTGTGTTTTTTTGATATATTTGTGTGTATTAACAAGATGTGTGGGTGTTCATGTATATTCTGATTAGTTGTGGGGTGTGTGTGTGTTTTGGTGTATTAATGTGTGTTTTTTTAGTGTATTAGTGTGTGTGTGTGTGTGTGCATTTGTGTTCATGTAATCACGTGTGTTGTTATATATTAGTATCTGTGTTTTTTGCAAATTTAGCTAGTGATAACACTACATGTGATGGAATGTATGCATTTTTGGATGGTATATTAGTGGACGTGTGTGATTTGGGATGGTGTATTAGTGTGTGTTGTGTAATAGTGTGTTTTGGTATGTTGGTGTCTGTGTTTTTTAGTGTATTAGTATTTATTAACATAGCGTGTGTGCATCCGTGTGTTTGTATAGTCGTGTGTTTTGATGTATTAATGTGTTTGTTAATGTTTTAGTGTATTAGTTTGTCTATTTTTACGCGTTTTAGTTTGCATGTTTTGTGCAAGAGTAGTTGTAATGGATCTCAACTTACTTCAACTACTCTGCTGGCTATTACTTGCTTACATTATTTTATTTCTTAATTTTTTTTGCTATGACTCAATGTATAATATTGCTTATTGAGTGTAGTATCTTAAAACAATGGAGGAAAAGCCAACCTATTGAAATTTGGGAGGCTCATAAAGTAGCAATCCATGCAATTATAGATTTATTTTTAGCCGAGCTTGGGACATGCATAGATTTTTGCTCGAGTATTTTATTCTATTGATTTTGAGGTATGATTTTGTTAATGTTCTCTTCTCTTTACCTTCCTCTGAAGATGAATTTTTTGACAAACCCCCCCCCCCCCCCACACATTTCTCATCCGATGGATCGCTGACTAAACGGGGATAAAATATCGACAATTTTGAATCTAAAGGCCACCAAAAATCCTATGAAAATTTTGTTAAGAGTAATGCAGAAATAATGTGTGGTCCTACCAACCTCTCAAACCCAGAGCTTTATAGAGAAGATCAATCTCAACGTGTTAAACCTTCCAAGATTTTTTTTTTAAAAAATAGTGATTAAATTGGTAAAATCTACCTCTGGAGGCATTGAATGATCTCTTTCAGTGCAGAATGGCGCTTTGGATTACATCCTGTTGCTGTAACAACGAATTGTCACGTCGTTTTGACGAAATTGGCCCTGATGGAGCAGTAGCTACCGCTGATGAAGATGATCGGCCCTTTCCTAAATGCTTATGCACCACCCAAAGCACTGCAGGCAAGTTCCCCGATTTTTGGAAACATCTCTTACTGTACGATAGAGGAGCTAGACCCGAACACCCATCTTTCAAATTCCTCATTTTGGCCTCTCGTTTGTTATGTTCAATTATTCGAAGGTGTAAACGATGGCTATTTATTGCAACGATGGCCATGGAAAACCCAATTAAATACGACACATTAGGGAAATTTTTATGACATAAAATGCTCAAGAAGGCAGTTAGTTATTTGATAACCCATTGATACTTGCACCCTCTAGGAAAGGATGATGTTATCTTTTGACCCATGTTTATTTATTTTAAATTAAAATTTACTCACTGTGTACAGCAGACTAGACCGAATCATCAAAGAATTAAAAGTCTACTTCCAATTTTTTTTTTATCACTTCTGCCAAACTATAGCATTAAAGAAAGAGAAGACAAATTAAAAGTCTGTCATTGCCCTTGTAAAATATCTCGAACAAATTCATATGTGGAGTATTATTTTCCCAATCAAAGTAACATTGAATAGAAGTGTGATGATTGAGAGACTTAACGACTCCGATAATGGAAGAGTCGAATTGGATGTTGGCAAGGAGATGGAGCTCGGTGGCTCTGCGGATCAACTGCTTGGATTCTGAGAGACCCGACTTCTCTGCTAACTGTGAGAGATCCATTTTAGGTGGAGAGTGGGTTGATTGATTTTGAGGAGGGTTGAGAGTGGAACGAAGCAGTTTTGATTCTTTTTCCATTTTTGATGGGTAGGTGAGAGAGAAAACAATGGCGGGAACATATATTTTTTGCGGTTCTCAGCTTTGATTTTGCGCGGTTTTGAAAGTGAAGAAGAATGTTGCTATATTTTTTCAGTTCTATTTATTTACGTGATAAAATCTGGCATTTTAACTATATTGTTCGTACGGGCTCGACGTGCACTTGTATGATCTGCAGAGATTTACTTGTCTTATGGTTTAGAGGTTATAACTGTTTTTTTTGTTTCGTTGTTTGTTATTTTGTCTAGGTCAATAATACTTCTTATATTAGTGAGTTTTACAGACCCACCGGACTACAAGTTTTTCAAATTCAAGTATTTATTTTTCTAATTAGAGTCTAATGTCTTGGAACTAACATGAAATCCGTTCAACGATTTACTGGTTTATGTAAATATTTAATGCGTTTACTAATAAGATAAGTCATTTCTGGAGGAGAAACTATATGATTTTGGGATCTTTGTGCTTCGTGCTTAGAGAGACTCATTAATGCAACCAAACTGTGCCAATTTGGTGCAAGAAATTTAGTATAAAATTTGACAGGTGTTGACCTGTGAAGTGCCATCAAACTCTTCTAATACTTTGTGTTCACCAAGACCAGAACAGTGAATGTGGAACTTGGCAAGTGAAAAACAGGTGGTCTTCTACTTATTAGGAATATAACAATGTATACATGCCAAGGACAACAACATCATCATTGTAGAATGTTCTTTCCTGATTTCCTGAAAATACATATTCTAGTGCTTGAAGAATTTTGCAATAATTCAGCATCAAAATCATCACTTTTACAAAATTTGTTGCTACTCATCTCTTGAGCAACACATCAGATTGCTAATTAGAAGTGAGCTGCCTGAAAGTCCTCTTTCTCTCTTTCTGAATCATCAACACCCATCTCCGCGTACAATTTTCCAAATATAACATACGTCTTAGATGCTCACAATAGGAACTTTCTGCTATATATATTACTTCATGTGTAGTGTGCAGGAAACTTGAGAAGCCAACAGAATCATCGCGTAACCTGCTATCTAGTTTGATGTCTGAACAGATGCTTCACCAGTATCACTACCTTGAACAAGCTGGCAAACAAGATGAGCAATTTATGGTTTTGCAGTGGAAATAAAATGCAGATTGTTGAAGAATTCGTGGAAAAGACAAAGTGGAAGAAGAAAGACGAAATTCACAGTACCAAGGAGCCAACTTGCTCGTATGCTTCCATTACTTTTGGGTTTTCCTCGTCTTCATACCCAACTTGCAGTATCCGTGGTCCATTGACTGACCAAAAAGCTCTTCGACCTGCCTCCTGCAAGGAGATGAAAGTGCAGAGATGTGCCACTCATGACAAGGAACTAATATATTTCCTCAAAAGTGTGTACAAAGGACCAGAAAGAGAATTTTGTCTGATGCCTCTAGAACATCAGTTGGCTATACAAACTTCATTTTGTAACATTTAATTGTGTGCATTCTAACTGACGCACATAATACAACAGCGCTCATACACACGTCTTTTAATATTGTCGGCTTCTAATGGGCACGATGTCCTCAGAAGTTCTTAATATCCAAAGGGATTGAACATATCAGCCAACCTAACAGGCTCAATACCAAAAAAACCTGCCACCTCAGAAACACAAACATACAGTTGGAGAGAAAGAGCGATAATAGTATACTAATCAAGCCACCTCATCCCATTAAACTTCGTCTGATAGCGAAAGGATGGATTTTTATGGAAGAACAACTCCACGTGTTCAGTTTGAAACCTCACAAGCTGCTGTGAAATTCCTTCTTTTCTGAGTGCTAGTTAAATATGACTCCACAAGATATTTATGATTACTTTTTTGATGGATTCATAAAAAAATTACCAAAACATGAAAGAAAAAAGTTGTGCTGCGAATTTGACCTGTAACGTGAGCAAGTAAATAGCTTCCAATGCTTGGATACGATTCTCAGGATCACTAACAGGTTCACGCTCAATTGACAATGTACTACTAAGCTCGAGTGGCATTTTTGAAGTGTCCTGTTCACTATAAACCTGGCACAAGTCATCAGCTTAGAGAAAGATAAAATTCACATTATAAACATGTGTAAAATGTGAAACAATACAATAAAACCAAGAACCATACTCGAAACTTGTTAAAAATGGAAGTTCATAACCAGTAAATATATATTTCTGAACATGAAATGGACAGTTTCAGAAACCCTTGTTACATTTTAAAAATAAATTAAGCATTCTTAAAAATTCTATTATACCAAGGAAGGAAAGCAAAAGTTTTTCACTATTATTTTGAAACTTCAGGGAAAACCCTTTACTTGTGTTCTTTAACAGTTTTCCCCAACAGCACTACTGGACAATTACAGCAAAGTGGATCATGCACTCTAACTAGTAATAAGTTAAATCCATAAGTTTCAAATTTCTTTTATGCAATCAACTCATTACCTAATGCGAAGTCGACCACATAATGGTTAAGAATGAACTCACCCACCCACACCCCACGCCACCCCAACCAAACCAAAAAAAAAAAACAAAATTAGGGGGGGGAGGGGGGAGAGGGGAAAGGAAAAACTGAAAGTATTACCTTGTTTCCAGCAACAGGCAGAAGTAGCGCAGGCCAAAGAAACTCTGATGTCAAAAGTAAATTTTGTAGCTGACTCTCAGCTTCAAAACAGCAATTCCGAATAGTTCCGGATACCTGTGAATGAACAGAGGTGGCACTAACATTACTGAAAGATTTCAAAGTTATTTTACAAAGTCCAAAGAAAAAAGGTGCCAAAAGTATGCAGGATATGAAAACTTCCATTCGTGATTGCAATCAAACAAGTTCATCCTGTCTCCTTTTGACTGTAAGCTTTCCTTGTCTCCTTGGCATAAGACAACTACAATGTGGGTTGAATTCACATTTTGGAGCAAATCATTTCAATAATACCAGCTTTGGAAAGAATTGAAAATGCCCTTATAGGCCAGCACCAAGGGGATATGCCATTGCTGCTATTCTAAAAAGCATCATATTATAAATCCAAGAACTAGCCTATGGCAGTAGGTTCTAGTGAGTCACTGACTGCCAACTTGAACATAAAATGCTGTGAAAATTTCCCTGTAACTCATGCAATTTCATAAACAGTGATTTATTGGAACCAATGTAGATATAACGATACGCCTTAATAGTTAGTGTATTTATAAGCTTAAAGAAACCCATACATAATGGACCAAGCAATAAGAAGAAACAATTAGGGTAAATTAGGTCACTGAACCACACTGTTTACGAACAGGACAGACTTTACAGGTTTTCAAGCTCGTAGATGTGCTTATACTAACAAAACGAGGCAAGCTTGAACTTTTCTTCTGACTGTTTGCCTAACAAGCTGGGTTCATGTAACTCAAGCTCATCTCAACTAGCATACAGAACTGTGAAGGACAAACTGAGAAGGAATTAGGCAGCCAAAAGCCAATCGTAATACATGGACTTGGGACTGGTCCAAAACGTGAAAAGCCTAAGAAGCATTAAAAGTGGGGGTCTCAACCACCTAAAACCCACAGGTTATTCGATATTACAATTGCTCAAAAGTAACTAGTGCCCTCACCCTCTTTATTGAAGAGGGGAGCTACTAGTTCTCTCTTGCCTTGCTGGATACTTAAACTTCTCTGTCCACTGAGTTTTTCACTTATTCACCTCTGATCTGTTTTGGATTCAACAATGCACACCAATGGCAATCTTTTTGATAATTGTTTTTGGGTCATTATGTCTTAATACCAAGGGTGAATTTACACACAACCAATTGGCTAATCTGAATGAATCCAAGGGTTCAAGGCCCTTCATTATTTAATTTGGTATAAAGGTATGATTTGTACGTTTTTTTCCTTTCAATCTTCATTTGCCTCCATCTTCAATCCATGGAGGATGCTACTTCTTCTGCAACCACACAACAGAACTCTTCACAATTTCTTTCTGCTTAACTCAAAATTTTTCTTTACTAAATGCCAGTCAAGCCAAGATTATGCTCAACAATGTCTGCGGACTAAGTCCAAACAGGTTGGACTATAGTTAGGCCTGAGCAAGCTGAGCTCAACACCATCTAGGGGTGAGCAAGCAAAAAGCTTAAACATTCCAAAAACTCAGCTGTGCTTTGTTAATGACTTTATTTGCAGCCCCAAGCTGTGCTTTGAGATGTGACCCCTGATCCCAATTCTATACTTAACCACAACTATCTTGAGGAACAGGTGTGCATCTCAGTTCCAGATGGCACCAAGATGAAACAACTGTCACTTCTTACATTCCAACTGAGAGCTTAGTTAGATACTCCTCCTAACCAATGAGGGCTGAGTTGAATCAAGCTGGTTCTCAGGTTTCAATTGTAAGAGGGGTTACAACGTGTCAAAAGAAGACAAAAGACACCTCACTTCAATGTTTCTAACAAAATACAAAGAGCGGAGTTTGTTGCAGCCAATTTCACATCTTCATATTTTTGAAATCCAAAAATTTGACTACGCAGAGGCTAGTAAAAAATCAAATCATAGTGAGGAAATATCCCCACAATAATTTTAAAAAAAGGAATAGAAAGCACAAAGTACCTCAACTTCCTGAACATTCACAATAAAACTGTTTCTCTGCACACATCACCTAATCTTAGACAACGCCAATTTCACTGGTAACATTACTGTTGTCTAACTAATACGATCTCAATGGAGCCCACAACATAGGCAAGAGAAATGTGCTATAAAACGCATGCAGAAGAATATAATTTTTTCTTATTAATCTATTGATAGTTCTAAAGCATGCTTGCAACAAAACTCAACTTTTTTTCATACATGAAAGAAGGGGGTATAGTATTCAAGAAGCACTGAAAACTAAATCAATGTTTCAGATCAATAGATTATGGCAAAAACCATCCCAAATCTATTACTAATTTGGAGGAATCTGTAATACATACCCCCTTCTTTCGCAATGTGCTGGTTGAATCAAACTGCCTTATGATCTGCTTCAAGAGTCCTCTTTTAGGGTCCAATATAAGTTTTCTCCCCGCTTCCTTTTTTGTGATATTCACAAGTACAGAACCAACATGTTCAAAAGAATCACCTGATAGACATGCAACAGGAACAAATGAGCCATGCCAAAACTGTAATAGGATACGAGCATGTAAAGAATTTGAAATTGATGGACCTTATGCATGTTAATTGTTTGAAATGTTATGTAGAGCAATGTATAAGGCCTTGAGATAAAAAAATAAAATAAAAAATGTGAGTACTTATGCATAAATATAGGTATCACAAGCATCAAAATAAATAAAAGTAAAATCATAATTCAAAGTTGTTCATGATACTGGACATTCAGACGTGGTGGAAAAACATAGAAAGTCCATAAATGTGAATTGAATATGCAAGATCTAGGATTCCTCAATCAGACAGATTGTCTTCCACATGTTACGTTGACTGAAACACAAATTATTTGTGCATAGAACATAGAAATAACTTGGGAAAAGAAAAGAAAATATAAAAGAAAACTAACACAGAAATCAGACATACCATACCTTTTTTATCATCGGATGAAGTACAAAATGATCTGACAAGCTTCATAACATACAACCCATGCATCTTCTCATCCCCAGACTACATACAGACAGACACCACAATCATCACAATTTTTCATATGCATAATCATGTTTAACATTAATGAAGTAGCCATCGCTAATCCCCATCATTGCTTTTATCAAAAGGCTTCCAAATAATAGCCCTTCTGAGAGATAATTTTTAAGCTCGCCTCAATCCAGGTGGTGAAAAAGCCAAGGAAAAGAAAGTATTAGAGTAAAGAAAACACCTGAATTAAGGAGTCAATACCAGCATCCAATTGTGAGAGATTAACAAGAAGCATGACCAGCAAATGGATTATGCCCGAATCTGGCTTATACAACATATCCATGGCCATTTTAATCATGCCCCTCTCAACCATCTTTGCTCCCAGGTCTGAATTTTGTGACAAATTTATTAGAGCTTCTGCTGCGGGTACTGAAACCTCCTGAAACATGAAGCCAATTAAGTTAATCTAAAAGATTAAAAAAAAAAAAAAAACTGATGGTGCAACCAAAAATTGGGCAGAGTGCCCATCTAACAAAGCTTTCAAAATCTTCAGATCAAAAACTAACCGTTCAAATCCTTCCAACTCACTTAATGCAATTCAGGACTCAAAGTCCAATAACACAATGTGACCAAATAGGAATTACTCATTGATGACCACTGTCAAGGAATTTACTTACAAAAGAAAACTAGAAACAACCATATAAAACATATTATCATGGCAGCATTTAATTTAAGTATGGTGATACTTGCCGAATGTTAAGGCAATCTCCATATAGGGGCTAACTTTATTCCACCCCTTTCAGTTATTCCCAAGCTCTCTCTCTCTCTCTCTCTCTTCAGTGTTTGTTTCGTTTCCTCATACTAAAATAAAACTTCTCTATCTTGCAGGCAGTAAAGAGTAAAATGCACAGAACCTTTTTTTCACCTAAAAGCCGAGCAAGCGACGGAATTGCAACGTCCGAGTAGCTCCCAAGAGACTGCAATCCATCCTCGGACCCGGTTAAATCTCGAACAATTTCAACCGCTGCCTTCTTCACCTGAATGATTTTGAAAACGATTAAACAACTACAAAATCTTCTCAGGAAGTACCATAAAAAACATCAAATCCACCAAATAGAAGATGTGATTGGATTTTCAATTCACAAAAGTAAGTTAATTTTCAGCAGAAAAACGAATTGTTTATCATTCAACAACGGTTTCGAAGATTTGTGATAATTACTCAGACATATGTCGTATCACTCACTGTATATGACGAAAAATAGGGTTTTGGTTACAGGGAGTTCTTTGCTTATTGATAGGAAAATACTTACAGGTGGAGAAGGAGATGATAGGAAGCCCAGCAATTCTTCTAGCTCCGTCGCCATCGTTCTTCTCAATTCCTTCACAGTGCCTAGACTGGTATATTTATAACCTCAAAACGTCATCGTTCTAGGGCCGGCCACTGCCACCCCCAATTTCATATACATTGTAGTCAAAAATTCTACTGATTCATTTAAATAAACTCTAATTAAGCTATTTAAATCAAATTGATATTTAAATTAAATATTTATTTTTTATGAATTTGAATGCTAACAATAAAGTGGATATGTGTTGCATGAACTTCAGACAGTTCATATGGTTACACACTACACCGTAAAATTAAATATTTTAAATTTAAATTGATAATTTTTTATATTATCTTAATGAATATCTTAATTCTGATGTGAATAATTTATTTTTAATTAAACAATCGAGAAAAACTTAAATTAACGTGAACACCTTTTATTATTAAATTAAAATACTTTTGAGCCACACCAATGGCATAGTAATTCTCGTTCTCTTTCCACTACATTACTATATATATAAAGAATTTGATGATTTTGGGTATTACTATTATTAGGATGAACAAATAAGTATTACATGGAACAATAATTTTTAAGTAAAAAGTCTAGTAGATAAAATATATATAGATTGATAAAAAAAAGTCCAAAAAAGGGTCGTAATAACCTTAAAAAATAGAAAATAATACTTTCCAAACAATAAAAATTTAATCATTGTGAGTGATAAAAATTAATTGGCCCAACCCAAACCAACCTGAATTAGGATAACTAGGACAGAATTGCGATATGCTCTGTTATTTTTTTACACAATTTAACCTAACGGTAAATTTTTTAGAGCATCTCTAATAATGCTATCTAAAATAGTTATTCAAAATATATTTAAATATTCTATTATCTACTTTAACTAACCACTTTTTTTAAATTTACTCTAACAACGGTATCTATTTTAACTAACAACTTCAACTAACTTTCAATAATAATATTTAAAAAATAGCAACTCAGTTATACATTGTACAAATTTAATCAATTATAGGCTACAAGAGAGAACCCACCTCTTGAAAATTACTACTCCCAAATTAAATTTTCTAAAATTAAATCACAAAATTCAAAACAAAATCACCTCAAAACTTTCGAGTTTGATCAAAATTTTTTGAAGACTTCGAGTTTGATCGCCTCATCCAAACACTAGACCAATAACTTTCGAAGTGCTTAGAGTGAAGTGGTTAGCCAGATGTAATTAGTGAAAATAGAGTTATAAAAAATAGATAAAAAAATAACTAGTCATTTAGAGTCATATTTAAAAAAAAATATTTAAAATAACTAAAAAGAGGATTTTAGCCAGTGATTTGAAGTTTCTCTTGCAATGTAGCTGGGCCCTCGGTAAACCATAAACCAATTGCAATTATTTGTAAACTGTTTAACCGACTTATTTTTGTTTGGCCTTTAGACAAAAAGATAAAATAAAAACAAAACCCCAATTTATCATTGCACTTTGCAGTTCGAGAGAGAGAGAGAGAGAATTGTTTAGAAGAGCAAGTTACGACGCAGGCATTATTACAATTACGATTTACACATGTAAATCACTAGTAAGGATTGCGAGGGAGATTCTTCTTCAACAAAGTAGCTCTGTAGAGTCTGTACGATTCAGTTTCGCTTTCTGCAACAGTATTGGAGAATTAGATCTCCAATCAGGTAATTCGCATTTCATGATGTTTTGCTTTTCATTTTTACATGCATTTCATGGTGTATAGCTTTTCACGATTTCTCCATAGATTGTATGCATAATTGTGAGGTGTTCAATGTTTTAATTATTTCACAAAATTGCTCTTATGTGTAGGATTTACGCACAGACGAATATTTATATAGTTTTTGTATATGTGTGTGTGTGTGTGTGTCTTACCATTATTTCTTGTGTTTCAGCTAGCCAATGATTGATTCCGTAAGTTTGAAAGAAGTTAAACATACTTTTTTGTTTATTCAGTATGAAGATTGCATCTAAAGATGGATTTTAAAATAGTTCATCTAGTTAATGCCTATTACTTGTTCGAAGAAAATCTTTTAGATGATTTACTCTGTGTCGTTGCTTTGGCTGCCAAGAGTAGAATTCCATTGGAGATCAAAATCAACACAGTTCAATGACATTGTGTATGGTTTATGTTTTGATACACTTAAAGTTTTTAAAATAAATGTGAACATGATTTGTGAAAACCAAATGATTGTTGAAAATGTTGTAGATGAGCTGGTTTACAGCTGAGGTTTGGAAGCTAGATTATGATGGCTTTTTACAAGCACGGTAATGAAATGTTACCGGAGAGGAGAGGAGTTTTTAGTTCTGTTTTTAAGTATCCTGATCAAAGTGAACCGAGTCTGCGAGTCATTCGTCGAGGGCGGAGGTTTGGTCGGATTTCTGGACGAAGGCTGTTATTTTGGGTGTTTTCACTTGCTGTGCTCTTCTCAATCTTTTTGGCTGTTTTTGGCTTGAAGATGCTCTTTCATGGTAAGATTAAGGAATTTCCTTGTTTTGCATCCAAGCACTATCACTCCTTGCTCCTTTTTTGTTGTATTGCTCAGTCATAATATGAAACTTATTACGGTTCTATGTGGATTGTAGGAATAGAATCCGATGTGAAAAATGCTTCAGTTGTTATTTGCAGCTTACATCTTAGTTTGCTGGGTGAGATTTACCTGTTTAACTGCTAGCTGAAACAGCATAACCTTGAGACACAAGTCCTTAACTTGTTTGCTTATGGCATTTCTAATTTTGACCTTCTCAATCTGCTAAACTTGAGGTGTGTAATAGCGAACATAAAGTTTGTAACAAATTTTTCACTGCTTGCAACAAAGGGGCCTGATGTTTTGGAATGGGCAAGGCTCTGATTGGTAAACAGACATGTAAAATGTAATCGAAATGTAAAATGGAAATTTTAATTTTGAAGCTATTGGAGTTGAACAGACATCATGCTTTTATTGTTTTGATTATACAAGGAATTGTTATTATTAATCGAAATTCTAACCCAAACTTTGAAAGAAGAAGGGCGAAAAAGTAACAGACTAAGGGAACAATAAAGATTAGAAGATGGCTAATTAAAACATTTGAAGAACGGAGACCTATGGGCTATAATTGATGAAAATGCCCCCTTCCCACCAACCACAACCAAAGAAGCATAATTTTTAGAAAGCAAAAAGTTGAGATAGATGGCAAGAAGAACCATGAGTAATACTAAGGATCTGATATAAATTCCTGAACAACAAACAAGCAGATTCAAAAGTCTCTTTAGGAGTCTTATTCTGTATCTCTGCTCCCAAATCAGTGAGGAGAGAATGATGGAAAGAAGTCCAGGAACCCAACTTTTTGGTGCTGATTTGAAAACACCAATCTTTGTGCTGAGCCTCACTTGATTATGTGCAAATGAAGAACAACATCTAGTTTAAGAAGTTGACAAGGGCACAAAATAAGGCAAAGGAAGAAAATACTTCTAGTGGAGGAAGTCCAGGAAGAACTGAATACAAGACGATGTTGCAAGGAGAAAGAATTTCCACTTTAACCATGCTCTCGCCATTGTCCAGCATCCTTATGGTAGATTGCAAAGGGAGATGATATAAGAAGTTTTGACTTTGTGTTAGGGCTGTGTGCTTCTCACAGTTCCAGATCTTTGGAATTGCAACTTTTGGTTCCAAACCAAGGAATAGAACGGCCTGTTTTATGCGTAGTTACATTTCCATGTAATTGAGGTGTAGAATTGTGATTTCAGTTTTAGTGGGGCTGCCAAATCTCGAGTTGGAATTGGGGTAGTCCAGTTCCAATTGGGCCCATAATTTGACATCCAAATTCGTGATCCATGTTACAGGCTTACTAAACCTGTTATTGCCTTCATAGTTCTGAGATAATATAACGGTAAAATGTACTGCTTTTACAAATGACGAGATGAGATAATGCTTTGTAGTAACAAACTTTTACTAATGACTCGTTTCATGCATTTATTAGTCTCACTTTATCTTTATTGTCTAAATATTATAAGTTGATTTTTCTAAAAAGTGATTAATTATTCAAGTTATAGAAAATCAATTATATATCATGGAACAAAGTTGGTGTCTCAAATAGCAATTAATAACAGAGATTGCTAAGTTCTTGAGTGTTAAAATGTTAGAGACCTGGCCGTATTTTATTGTGTGATTATTTAAAATTGTTGGTGACTATGTATCTTGAAAAAATACCTCTTTATAAGCATCAAAATAGTTTATTGTCATTTCTCTTTAAAGGATTGTTCATATGCATACACTTCTGTTTTTTGCAGGCAAATTGGAAAGTGGCTTTTTATCATTCAAAGAAGTACAAGAAGAATCATCATTGGGATCTGATGGTGCAGAGAAACCAAAAAGAAAGCCCCCTAGGCCACGTAAGAATAGTCTGAGTCGTACTTATTACTACTCTTATATCTTAAGTAAGCTTTCACAATGTTGTAGTTAAAATATTGACACTGGCAGCTTAAACATCTATGAGCACTTTGTTATTGTGCAGTGGGTTTGTTGAAAGAATACTTTGGGACAGTTTATGAATCCACCTAGTAGATTTGGAACAGGCTAACCAAATGTGTAATATATATTTGGTCCAAGCTATGTCTGGTCATCAAGTAATTCTTGATCATTGTAACTTTTGTTAAATGCTCTTTAAAATTCGTTTCTGGAATTTTCAGTCCCATATTTTATTTGACAAAAGCAAGGAATTCTGATATTTTTTTTGAAGCATTCGCTTGCTTAGATCTCATATATGTTGCCCATAATTCAAATGGTTCATGAAAGCTTCAAGATTGAGCATTATAACCCTGTAATCACCTGACCTGGCATTTGCAATTGGTGCAATTGTTACCAAGGATCACAAATATCTGCAGAAACTGTATTTGGACTTACTTACCAAGCATCACCATTGGCATAAACTTTACTCTGTGGGCGCATGAATCCTAACACCAGCAAAAGCTGGGGGGACCATCATCTGGCTTGACATATTGCTCTTTCTTTGCCATGGTTTGGTAATTGGAATTTGCATAAAGATGTGAGCAATCAGTAAACAAACTATATTCTGGGGTAATCTGCAGATGTAGTGTAAATAAATCATTGGTTTGATATATATGCATTGTGTTCCATGATTTCGACTATATTCTGAATAAAGGGGAAAAAAAAATTGGGGTCCCTATTACCCCTCCGATCCTAACATTAGGTTCTTTCCATTTGATGCATTTGTTTTATTTGACAACATTCTGATGCAATTTATTCTTTTTCTATCCATGTTCAATCTTCCAGATTTTTTTCCATGTGAGGTCAGATTTCGGGTTTCAGTTGAAGACCTTGTTGAACCCAAGGATTTTACGAATTTTGCACAATTTTCCTTGGGATATGTCGAAAGAGAGGAGAAAAATTCCTTGAGTCATCCACTTGTACCAAGATTTGGAGGACATCAGACTCTTGAAGAAAGGGAGAAATCATTTCATGCAAGAAATCAAACAATTCATTGTGGTTTTGTGAAAGGACCCATAGGTTTCCCAAGCAATGGATTTGATTTGGATGAGAAGGACCAAACATACATGCGTGCCTGTACTGTTGCCGTATCATCATGCATATTTGGAAGCTCTGATTTTTTGAGGAGGCCAACTAGCACACTGGTATATAATCCACTTCCTTTGAGACACATCTTGTTCATGGAACATCAGTTTGGTTTGACAACTTTGTGCCTGAAATAGTTAAATGTGTTTCTAGCAATCCACTTCATGCTGCAGTATCATTTCATTGACAGTTATTACAGCCTTCTTCAATTACTGATTCCGCCTTTTTCATTGGTGACCAAAATTTTTTGTAGTGGTATGTACAAAAGCTGCAAGCCTGCAAGTTGAGATAGAGGACTTTTTCAAGATGAGAACATCGTTTAGGATTATCCTCTGAACTTTCAGAGAAGGCAGAAAGAGTTTAAGTGACATATTTATAACACTTGATAGGAGCTTTCCTACAGTGTAGAAGTGGAAACTCATTTTACTTGAAATTTCCTTTAAAAGGAAATTTTTTTTCTTTGTTGGCCTCAGTACAAGATTTTCATTTTGTTGACCCCTTCTTGTATTCCATTGCAGTTTGTGTTTCTAAGTCTATGCATAGGAGCTCAAGAATTACTTCTTTTCATGTGTGTTAATTGTTACCCATTTGTTGCAGATCAGTGATTATTCCAAGAAAAATGTTTGTTTCGTTATGTTTGTTGATGAACAAACGCTCTCAAAGCTGTCAATGGAGGGCAATATTCCGGATGATAGAGGACATATTGGGTTATGGAAAATAGTAGTTGTGAGGAACTTACCATACAAGGACATGCGGAAAACTGGAAAGGTGCCAAAATTTTTATCACATCGTCTCTTCCCTTCTTCTAGGTGATCATCACATCATGTTTATTGCTGCATTAGTTGTTCTTTCTCAATTTTACCTACGTTTTCACTTATCAATTTTTTAATTGTAACACTCGTTTTTAGGTATTCCATATGGCTTGACAGCAAAATGCGACTTAATACTGATCCAATGCTGATAATTGAATATTTTTTGTGGCGGACGGGATCAGAGTATGCTATTTCAAACCATTATACTCGCCACTGTGTCTGGGAGGAGGTACTCCAAAATAAGCGTCTCAATAAGTACAATCACACAGCTATTGATGAACAGTTTATTTTCTACCAGTCTGATGGCCTCACTAAGTTTGACCCTTTGGACCCAAACACTCCTCTTCCAAGTTGTGCGTATTATTGGTGCATTTTTTGATTGCCTCTTTCTTTCATTTGCAGTTCCTTTTAACTTGGAGCTGGTGTGTTGATTTGATGTTAATGTATCTGCAGATGTTCCTGAAGGCTCTTTTATTGTCAGAGCCCATACTCCAATGGCAAATTTATTTTCATGCCTTTGGTTCAATGAGGTTGACCGTTTTACATCACGTGATCAATTGAGCTTCGCATATACTTTCTTGAAACTGAAGAGAATGAATCCAGATAGACCATTCTTCTTGAACATGTTCAAGGTACCTATTTACTGAAGTGGGTCTTGCATATGCTGATATATTGCATGGCGACTTGTTAGTCACCATGGTTTCTGCAGTATGAGAATGATATATGCTGTACGCTATTAATGTCCTTCTTGTATTTTGACAGTAACATTCTCAATCGTGAAATTATGCAGGACTGTGAGCGCAGAGCACTAGCAAAGTTATTTCGCCACAGAACAGTGTTATCTCCACCTGCGCGTTGACAAGTTGAAATTTTTATGTTACTGTTTATGCCTGGTAAAATCACATATGCCTCGTCTTTTCAATCACTTTTGATTGAGTCGAAAAATAGGTTTCTGTAGAAGTCAGAAATTCGACTCCAGGGTTCGCGTAGGAAAATCTTTCATTCGTGAGTTTCCGAATATCCTTATGAATGTAGTGGTACCGGAGACCTAGATCATTTTTGGCCTATGACCTGATCATGATATGGCATTGAAGCCTGAACCATTTACCATCACCATGCAAAGGCATGTGAGGGACCAAATGGTGATTTTTGCACGTTTTGTTGATCACATAAAAGTTGGTCGCGGATTTGAGCCCTGTCATTGTGCAAAGTGATGTATTAAATTTGGTTTCTGCATAGAAATTGTAATAAAGGGATTGAATGAACTTGAGCATCCCATCCAAGCACTGTACTCTCGAGTTGCAGTTATTTTAGATATATTTTGTTTCTCTTGCATTACCATCAATGTATGCCAAATCACTCTTTCTCACCGGGCATTATTAGACTATTGAGTTCTCATGCCTTCGAGTGATAAGCATATGAGAAAAGGCTTATGTGGGTCCATGTCACTGATTCGATGGGGGTCAATGGCATCGATGTTTTGAATTGTAATTTAATTTGATTAGGTCATAACTTTCATACAATACTAAAAGATTTTGGTACCATGGAAAATATCAAATACTAGCAGGGTCGTATCCCTTTGATTAAATTTGACTAATTTCTTTATTTAATGGAGACTTAATGGGAAAAAAATAATCTCCAATCGTTTAGCTGCCTAATTGGTTGTGAGGACGTATTTTTTCTAAGGATAAATTTCGTAAATGTCTCATAAATTATGGGCTTTGTTTAGGTTTTATTTTATCCCTTGAATTATATAATTAGTTTAATTAATTTTTTTGTTAATTTTAAAAGTTAAATGATACTGATTCAAACATTTAAAATGTATGTGAGTGGTAGTTGGGGTTTGAGTCTATGTCATTTAACATCTAAAATTAATGGAAGATGCTAATTGAAACCAATTACACAGTTCAAGAGGTTAATTGTGACAAATAAAAGTTCAATGAGTATTTTATAAAATAAAAGTAATAATTGAGTTTTTTTTTTGTACTTTGTATCTTAAAAAAATTTATTTTTTTTATTTTATACTTTTAAAAATTAATTTCTTTATATTATACTTAATGTATAAAAAATATTACAATGTAACTCTTCTACTAATTTTTATTATTTTTTTTGTCCAAAGCCGACTCATTAAAATTGACAAAAAAATTAACAAAAAGTCAACAAAAATGTCACATTACAACACTTTTGATTTATTAAAAATATAATGTAAAAATTTAATCTTTGAGAGTATAAAGTGATAATTTAAATTTTTTTAGGGTACAAAATATAATTCACCCCCTAATAATTTAAGGGCATTTATGAAATTTACCCTTTCTTTAATACATTTGCCCCTCATATTTACCGTTAATCATTGTTTCACCCGGCACATTATAGTTTTATACGGCTCATTTTAGCAGCAATCGGTCTCGTCACTCTCGCCTAGTTTTTGCAGACCTCGACAGCTCGGAATCATGGAGGTCGGTGCTCTCTTCAGAACCCTAAAGCCTTCCAGTTTGCTGCTCACCAAGTCTCTTACAGTTCGATGCTGTTCAACGTCTCCTACACCAATTCACCCAGGTCAGTGGCTCCTCGAAAATGAAATTCCCAATGCTTTTTCCTTTCCTTCGTTTTCTTAGCACCCAAACGCCACAAACCAGTCTTAACCTTCGTGTCGGATGTCGCATTTGTAAATGTGATATATATTTTCTGTTAGTTTTCTTCTTCGCTGATTTGTTACCAACTGAAAGAAGGGTAATTTGTCTTTCACTCCGTAGCCGGAATTCCAAAATTCGTACGGCGCACGTTAGCAAGGGTTCCCGGAGGCTAACGTGGGCCGCCGGAGACTAATTATTTTCGGGGGGATGGTTATCGTGCTGGTTGCGTTGCGCAGTCCATACCCATGTCTTTGTTTCCTCTCTGCCGTTGGCGCTTTTTAGCAAGGTGGCTTTGGTTGATAATTAGTTGATTTTTTTTCTTTTGTAGGAGGAAGAAAACTGGTGAAGAGAGCATATGATGGATTGCTATTGGATGCCGGGGGTACCCTTTTGCAGTTGCCAAAGCCAGTAGAAGAAACATATGCCGCAATTGGGCAAAAATATGGTTAGTTTAAGGCTTAAACTTTTCCGAAATTCGGTTTTCTCTATGCCTTGTTTACTTACATTGATTAAAACTCTATGCAATACAAATTTACTCTTATTGAGGTTTCTGACTTTGATATTGTTGTTAGATTTTACAGTTTCTTGAGATCAATGGATTACATTAGTTGCAAAGTTTGACATATTTTGGCATCTACAAAATGGGATTCGATATAATTAAAAGAAAGAAATGATCAAAATAGAAATGATTTTAATGGGGTTTGTTTCTGTTAAAGTCTCTTCTGATGAGGTGTGAGGTGTGAAGTGTGAAGTTTTTGTCAGCAACAAGTCATTGTTTGACCATCTATGGAATAACTAAACCTTTGGTGTGTTGTATTTTTCACGATTGAGTCTTCTTAGATGGATTCATTGTGTTTGTTTAATATTGAGATGTGTTTTGGTTGCTTTGCTTTTTGATGGTACATTATTTGAGTGGTGAACTTTTATTTGTGGTTTTATTCCGGTCTAGATTAAAAAATACATGTTAGATCATCTCTTCTTTCATAATAATAATAGGATTAAGTACGAGTTCAGCTGACATAAAGCAGGGATTTAGAAGGGCTTTTGCTGCTCCGTGGCCGGAAAAGCTTCGGTACCAGGTCAGTTCCCTTTTTGTGTGTTTATTGGTCCCCCGCACTCGTGCATGAAAGTAATTTATTTACTATTTTGTGTGTAAATACTTGTGAAGTTCCATGTTTTTTTTCCTTTTTATTGCATATACTTTGTTTTACATACAATTATATAACGCAGTCTACTACCTCAACCTATTTCAAGAGTTCCCAAATGAGAAAGGTTACAAGTTCTCGAGTGTATCACTGAAACTTATTTTTTTTCTATCTGATATCACTGAAACATGTGGAACTATATTTTTAAGCAATAAAATGTTTAAATATCAGAAAAAAGCCAATAATAGAATGACTATATGAGACTGTTTGGGAACTCCAAAAAGCAGTTCTTTTAGAAATATGTCTGGCCCTCACAAGGTGGATTGTAGTTGGGAATGCCAAAGTTAGGAGAGACCTAATTATTTGCTGATCCAAAATATCTGTCCAAAAATTGAGTAGTGGCTCTTTTGTTTTTGACTTGTCTGTTGGGAAAAGTAGAATTACATTAAACGAGCCAGAAGTGAGCCAAGCTAGAGTTCTTGTTCGAGTGAGCCGGGTAAGGAAACAAGTACGCCAGAGTTGTGTAATAGAACTACTAATTAGTTTTCTCATCTCTAAGGCAATTAATTCTTAACAAACTACGCACCTTGTACTTCCAGCCAAGTAAGGCAACGCAGTTGATGTTGTTAAGTTAAACAAACGGTAGTCAAATATTAGGCGGATGGAGGCCCTATTCTGGACCAATTAGCCAACCACTTGAGTAAACTAAATTTTTTAGCGCACAAAAAGATTAAGTCCAAACTATCTTCTACTTATTACTATTTGTATTGTTATTGTTAATATTTTTCTACACGTGTATTCTGCATTATCAACAGGGAGACGGAAGGTCATTTTGGAAACTTGTGGTTTCGGAGGCTACCGGTTGTGACGATTATAACTATTTTGAAGAAACTTATGAGGTATCATTCTTGATATCAAATTGTTTGAAATTTGTGTAACCTAAGACATTGTTCTCGTAAAGCTCTAGAGATCAGTGTTATCAGAATTGGACCGGCCCGGCCGGTTGGACCGTGAACCGGGTCATAGACCAGTCCGGTTCTTGAGTTGGACTGTTTAGGCAAGTGAACCGGATGTTAACCGTTAAACCGGCCGGTTTTTGTTAAAATCGGTGAACCGGACGGTTGGATTGCAATTATTAAAAAAAAAAAAATCTGTTTTGAGCATTTTTGCCCTAAATCCCAGCCTCTCTTCTTCAAATCGCTGCCTATTCGTCTTTAACTCGATATTTGCTGGGTCTCCACCGAAACTTTGGCGGAAGATCAACGAGGTCAGCTCGTTGGCCTGCTACCCGCTCTCAATGAGGAAGATCAATGAGACAGTGGCCTCCCTTTTTGTTGAGGCAGCAACCACCATTAACGTTTTTTTTTTTGGGTAAGTAACCAGCAACAACAATAACAAAGCAAAAAGAAAGAAATCCAAGGGATTTAACCCATCACCCACCTCTGAAGTTGATTGCTGATCCACATATACACACACACCCATATAAATATATATATATATATATATATATGTAGATAGAGAGAGGTGTTGATTTTTTTGTTGTTGTTGGAATGGGGGAGGGCTATTGATTTTGTGGTTGGTGAAATCATTGGCTTCCAGAGAGGGGCAACCACCCTAAAAAACATCCCATCTCTCTGAGCCCCATTCTTGAGCTAGACAGAGAAGGCAGAAGGGTTTGGTGGATCCACTCTTTTAAAGGTGGAGATCATTAATGTTGAACTTAAAAAATTTGTAAATAAAAATTTAAAAATATTTTAAGTTACAGAGTGTCGTTAAACCTTGTTTATATTTATCTTTTTTTCTGCTTTTATTTAATAAGTGTCCTAATACGACTTACTCTGTGATTACTACTTTATATGGGTAGTTTGTTAATTTTTAAGAAATTAATGTGACTGTGTTAGTAGTTTAGAGTTTTAAAGTTAAACTTTGATATTTAACACAAGTGTTTCTTTTACTTAACTTCAGTAATTTTATGGCAAATTATATGTATTTTAGGCATATTTTATATTTTCTAGCTAAATTATTAAGTTTTATAATTATTATATATATATTTTTATTTTTTTATTGCATGACCGGTTCGACTAGTTGACTCGACGGTTGAACAAGTAAACCATTGACTTGGTCTTTTTACCGGTTCGATGACCAGTCTAGTTCTGATAACATTGCTAGAGATTTATGGAAGAGGTCAATGACTTTGGCACTTACAAATTGAGTTATTCCGTCCAACAATATTCAAACATCTCAAGTTTCAGCAATTGATTTTATCAGCACTATGCAAATGGTGATGCATGGCGTCTTCCAGCTGGAGCCCATGACACAATGTCAATTCTTAAAGATGCTGGAGGTTATCAAGTGTTTTCTTTGTCTGCTACAACTAATCATACTGAACCTGAATGTTTGTTAATATCATCTCTTTTGCCTTTTCTTTGCTTCTACTTAACAAAAACTGTGGTACTGGTACAGTTAAATTGGCTGTTGTATCCAATTTTGACACCCGCTTGAGGAAGGTGTTGAAGGACCTCAATGTTCTAGATCTGTAAGTATCAATGCCCTCTTTTGTTCTCGTGTCTTGCAATCGTTGCTCAAGCTAATAGCTCCTTTTTTTCCCTGCTAAGTGTACAAGTTAATGTCAATACTGGGATAATCATGCAGTTCTAAATATATCCATATTTTGGTGAGTGTGATTTAAATGCTCTTTGTGTTGGTAGAATAGTCCATGAAACTGGTTTGTTGGATGGGTGATTCACTGCTCACCAAAGTGAAGATACAGATGCCCCCCCCTGTGTGTGTGTGTGTGTGTGCTCGTGCCCGTGGGTGTGTGGTTTTTTGTGCGTGTTTGTTTCAGGGTATATTTGATGGGCATGCACTTAAGAAAGGGCAATGATATCGTACAACAAGTCTCCCTATCTAATTTATGGAATTTTTAGTCCTTGATTTTTTTTCTAGGTTTGATGCTGTTATCATATCGTCGGAGATTGGATACGAGAAACCAGATGCAAATATATTTAAGGCTGCTTTAGGTATGCATTAGAAATTTAAAATACAGAGTAAGCTTTTTGCCTGACATAGTGATAGGCAGCAGTATGATTCGTATTTGGTGGTGATTTAAATTCCGTTTTAAGGCCAGCATGTTGTGCATGCATCACTTAAGATTGAGGAAAAGGTCCCTATAGTATATACTTTAAATGTGTTTTCCCTTAAATTGAAGTGATGCATAAGTCTCCTTTTAGTGCATTTTTTTGACAATTGCTGCAAAAGTGGGTATGATAATACATTTTAATGTTTGGCAACGTCTTAGACCAAATTGGTGTGGAGGCTGCTAAAGCAGTACATGTTGGAGACGATCAAAAGGCTGATAAGGCAGGGGCTAATGCTGTTGGGATTGACTGCTGGTAAGCTTATTCTGATACACAAACAATTCTGTGTTTTGGTGATATCAAATGCTATCTTGGTGCTATAAGCAATGCACATGATGATCTAGGCTCTGAGCGTTATTGAATCTGATTCAAAGTGCCTACAAATGAGGCTAAATTCTTTTATTGATGTCAGGGTTAGATTTTGAATGTCTTATTAAATGGCGATATTGGTTTTTCGTTCATGCCACAATACTTACAATTGATCTGAATAAACAGGCTATGGGGTACAGATGTGAAGACATTCTCAAATATACAAAATTGCATCCTCCATTCAGAGCCATAGGTGGGCATGGGTCTCATACTGTCCCCTCAACTCAACTCTTTTATTTTCCCTCTCCTTTTGTTTTGTGTAAAGTTGGTTTTGCTATCATAAAGAGGTCAGAGGCCATCAACATAGATTTTGAGAATTATTATCCATACAAAGGGTTTAATGTGTTGGAGATTGTTTGAATAACTTTTTGATGCATTATACAGGCCGAGTTTTTTTTTTTTTTTTGGAATAGAATACCGGGCAAAAGGGTTTAAAATATAAATATGCGGATATAGATTAATTTTTTAAAATCCATCAGGTAAACGGATCAAATTCAAAACTTGAATTTTTTTTTTTAGATTTGGATAAAATTCAATCCGTTGATAGCCCTACTTCTGATAAGGTGGATTGTTTAATTAGTACAACATCCATTTAAGATCGAACATTGTCTAATTCTCTAAGGACAAACAACTTTTGATCACCTGTGTTCTTATGGCTATACTGCAGATTTAAAACTTTGTTTGGGCTGCATATTCAGAAATCAACTGTGTAATATCTCCCTGTACAAGGGTGCTGTCAAACTTAATTCTCAAACTCAGGCAGTTTTAAGAAACAGCCGTCAACTTGATGGTTTTAAACAAAAAAATAATCAAACCAAGTGATGCTTTTACACAAAAAAATGTTAGTCCAGCTAACGTTTTAAAAAAAAAACTGATGCTTTCAACTACAACTCCAAACACATTTTATCATGCAAGGCAAGGGAGACATCAGTTGAACAGATGCTTTAAAGGTATCTGAGTTCAACTAACGCATTTCATTTTTTTCGTTTAGTAAAGGCGTTATTGTTTTCATAACATAGTTGGAAACATAATAAATCGATGACTTTTGTCAAAAAGGGAAGCCGCCTTTCCAATATTCTTACGTTTTGCTAAAATTGAACTAAAGGCATGTTCACCAACATGAAAACTGCTTGGATTTGGGAATTAAGTTTCAAAGCACCCTTTTTTTTTGGTAAAAAAGTTCCACAAGTGCCCAGGAAAGCTGAAAAACTCCTGCTGAATTAGCCTCAAAACTTGCCGGAATCTAGGATAGGAAGAGTATCAACCTCGTTTCGTTAAGCGTCTTCAAGAAATTCAGGAATGAGAAGCCATTCTCAATAACTTACGGCCAACAATATCCTCATGGATAAGAAAGTTTGGAAGTCAGGCTACCTGATACACAATCAATACATTGATTGGGCTGCATATTCAGAAATCATCTGTGTAACCTCCCTATACAATTTCTGACTGAAGATCTTGCAGATGAAGAGAGAACCCGTTTGGAGGGAGACCAATAGATCAAAATTTAAAGATCTACCTATGAGGCTATACAAGGAGCAACCCACTTCTCCGAACAAAATGTTCTTCCCCCTCTTAAGTAGCACTTAGAGATAAATTCCCATCAAGTGGCAAAGAACAGCTGATGCCAAAGCGGTAGCTACATGCTTGAAATGGCATATCTCTGAATGTATGGTCTCAAAACCAAGGGGACAACCATGAAAATAGGCAATGCATGGATGAAGCAAATATGTTAGAAAATCATGCAATTGATTTGGAAAACAGAAAAACATTTGTTTTGGCTAGGACATGAGCAGATGGCTCAGAATCTACTTGCTCCACGTGCTGAGGTTTTTGGCAGCCCACGATGACACCACCACATCAATAGTATTTTGATGGTGAAAGTTGGCAACTGAGATTATAGGTACAATACACACCTTGACCAAAGGGCTTAGCCAAAGAAATTTGACAGCACACAACAGAAAAATGACAGTTTATTTTTTCAATCCAACTTACCAGCAACTTCAGTTTAAGAACAGAACAAGAGAGTGAACTCAGAATTGGAAGAATCAAGCCATCGATAGTGCCTCACAAAGACATCTATTTATTCCATTGGATATCTCCAGCTTTTCAAAAACATAAAAGTGGGAACGGCAATACCGAATGAATGTGTGTGTGTGAGAGAGATTGTAGCTCATCCAATTTTGTACAACCTATTTACTCATGGAATTTATGTTGGGAACAGAATCAGTGGAAGGAAATCCATACATGTATATGGCAGTTGATTCAGGATAAATGAGTAACGCAAGCAAAATGAAGTGTAGCAATAAGAAGAAATTCATGAAAAACAATTGAAGCTTGCAGAAAATTAGACCATAGAAGCAATTTTCTACGTACCAAATGAGGCACAACCCATTATGGGGGCTTAATGACCCTTAGAGACAAGAAACCTGTCAAAGCTGTTTCCTTAGGCTAGGTATCGGTACAATCGTCTGTCTGCAGTATCCCTCTCCAAGAAATCCCGCTCTATAAGAGACTCCATCCGTTTCTTAATCTCTCCAGGGTTGGCCAGGAAACGAGACTGCAGCTGCTTCGTGACCTCCGTGATGATATTATTATGATCCAATACTCTCCTCGATTTCATGATCCTTACGATTGCAGCCTCAATCTGAGGCTTCCTATCCTCCTCCACTCTCTGCCGTGTCTCCTGTTTTTCAGGTTCGGACTCCTTTTGTGCAACTACAGTTCCTATCTTCACCTTATAGAATTTGCTGGTGAACTTGTCGTTGACAAAAAATGCATCCTCCTCTCCGATATCTTTGCTCATGGGCTCTTTTCGGAGAACATTCTTTCCTTTAACACAAGCCAGGGATTGCAGGCACCTTTTCAAATCAGAGGAAGGAATCTCTGTGGTCTGCTCTATCTCCTTGTAGCTAAGCCGATCAGCATTGTTAAACAACACAAGGACGCACATTTGGTAAGTGGACACATTAAGCTCATGCCTCTGTCCTTTCCCAAAAGTTGCTTTTAGATCAGCAGTGCCCATGTTAGTCTGCCAGGTCAATCTCCGACCTGTATGGGTCCCCAGGTAATAAGATCGGAACTTCTCACACAGAGCTGACATTTCAGCAGGCAAGTCACAAGAAACACTAGGTTGAGTGGGCCAAGACCCAGTTGTGAGAACCTGGACGGTCAATGTGGCGCCGTCTCCTAACTCAGCACCATGGGCTGCATAAAATTCCTGCATTGTATCCTGAGAAGTTTTCATGTCCGTGAACATGCCTTCTAACTTTGAAGTAAACTGGTACCCGCATTCTGTCTTCAGCTTAACAATCAGACTTCTCTCAGCATCGTCAGAAACAGTTTTCCCTGAAAGTAGTCGCTTTGCCAAATGTTGTTTATAGTACTTCTCAAAAACATCTTTCTCCTGCAAGTAACGGAATAGCGTCATCACCTTGTCGAGAACAAGTTCGACATCTTCCTCACTGACTCCTTTTAGACCTTTGCGTAGTTTATCATCCACAAACAATGAGATAAACTCAGGAGAACGAGGGTTCAAATTAATGAAGAACTCAAAAGAGGAGTTCAAAGCATTCTGAAATGACTTGTCATTGTTGAATGCCAAATTTATAATCTTATCGTACTTATCTCTTTCATTCAAAAGGCACTGTACAAACTCCACTGGATCCGTCAACCTCTCTGGATCAGTAACAAGCAGTTTACCAGTGTTCCTGAGGTGAGAAGTCATTACATCTCGAATTGTTGAAAGACCATTGGGAACCCTCCGGAACAAGTTATACATTCTTCCCAAGTCTTCATATTTGTCATCAAGAAGCATGTTCACCAAACCTGAATTTTCCATGTGGACTAGTCTTAGCATGTGGTTTTCAATCATCTCCTTTTCCACTACATTGGTTATCTTTATTTCACTCTTCGGATCCAAGTAGTGTGATACCCTCTCTATTTCTTCATTAAGGCGTCTCTCAGCTTTCTTCAGGTAGTCCCCACAATCACAGCAATCAATAAATTTCTGAGACTCAGCCCTATAGAAATCAGCTGAAACTTCAAGAAAAGGTTTCTCAAAGTCTTCCTGGTATACTGAAGGTCCTAAATCCATTAACATCTTAATTATATTCCTCATGAGCCCCCTGTTTATAACTTCTCCTATCCGTTCTCTGAGTATCAGTTCAAGAAGTGTAGTCAAAAGCCTTGTCTGAATTTTGCCGGAATGTATGATATTGTCCCTCCAAAGATTGAGCCCAAGCTCATGAACAGGAGTTTTATGGGTATTTGGAATAAAAGTCCTGTCCATGTACATAAGTATGTCACGGATCATCTGCAATGCCTTATTATGATCTGTCCATTTCCTGTCAAGCTCTTCCAGGAACAAACCACCTTGGGCAGCTTCTATAGATATTGATATCTCTTGCAGGTGGAAAGTCATAGTTGACACAAGTCCTGAGTACAGCTTCTCGCCAAATTTGTGTAATACCATATTGTAAGCATTTCTAAATTCAAGCAAAAATTCAAAGTTAGAAAGAGACAAAAAGGAGAGAATTGTGGGTTTTGTTTTGTGTGTGTGTTGGGTGGGTGGGGGGGGGGAGGGCATGAAAAGGCTATTCATAACAAATAATCACTCGACATTTAGGTCATAGCCATCACTACAATAGAAAATATAAATGTAATAGACAAACTGCCACATTGAACACCTAGTTGATTTAACCAAGAATCACGTGCTCTTACATCAGTGAAATCAGCTCAAGATGAATGGAGCAGCTAATGGGTCAAATGAACAAACCAGGAAAAAAAATAAGATTATAGCTCCAACATGTTCTTTAAAATCAACTAAGTTTATTGCAAAAGTATGTTGTTTTGATTATCCGATCAAAACTTCTCACATGAACCGGCGTATGCTTTCTTTCGTTTTTTTATTCCATTCACGAAAGTCTTACATAATGTTATACATAAAGTAAGCAAAAAATTAACAGGACAAAGTTAAAATAATTATTAAAAATTTCTCATTCGGCAATGAGGATAATGGACAAAGATGATAAAATTGTACAAGTACCTTTGATATGATTGGTTTCTATTGAGATTTATTCCTATTTTTACATTTTCTAGACCATGTCTATAAAATTGCAAGAATGTTAGGGCACAACGATAGTCTTCTCACTTTTGCCTTCTAAAATCTTCCTAACAAGCAACAAAAATAGTAACGGACAAATTTGCCACTTGTCCCTATTTCAACCCACCAGAATCACATCCTTAGTAACCAAGGAAACACAATAAATGTGAGCTTCCTCACAGCACAGTAGCCTTATCAGACGGGTTGTAATGATACAAACATGACACAGAGGCCAACACATTCACATTATCCCCACAAAAGAGCTATCGTATTCGCAGGTTGCTCAATGCAACTGGGAAGCTTAAGAACCACACTAAATTGTTCCACTCGGGTGAACGGAATAGAAAGATCGGTCGTGCCAGTTAATCGGCTATATCAAAAGGTGACAGACCTATGATCTTTCCTCTTGAATAGAAAAATGAACATCATTACATTTCTATTTCTGATTTATTGTATAACACCTGATACATCTTGAATATATATCACGTCATTGACAAGTTTTCCGATTTTGTTACTTTTTCTCCTTATTCCTGCTTAATCTTCAGTTTTGGACGCTAAATAAATATCAGTATAAGTATTCTACCACGATGCCTCAGACCAATTCTTTAGAGATACAACTTTTATTCTTTCATATCATGCAACAAGCTAAAAGTCTATTATCAGTTAACCCCAAACAAAAGGAATATTCATTTATGAAAAAATGTGGACCAATTAAAATGGCATTGTCGACAATTAACGATGTAAAATTTCATTAAAAGTTCTTGCCTTATATGACGACCTAGTTCTTGACACATTCCACAAGGTGTGGATATCAACTCTCAGTGTCTTCTTAAAGACCTCATCTGTTCCACGCATTAAATGGTGAGATAAGTGTCTGGAGTTATAGCACATTTGAAAGCACTAATAATGCTAGCTTAAATCAACTGAAATGGATTATTATTTCTGTATGCACAAGAAAACTTAATACCAATAAACCTTTTCCTGTTCTGTATGCATGTGTGTCATTTGGGGAGGATATCAGAATACCATTAGCTAACAAGTTGAAAAAATTTAAGTTCCATTTAGCATCAACACTAGCTTTCTAACTCTTTAATTATGATATAAAAATGCTGGACTACAGTGGACCAGATTAAAAATAGATACAACTGAACACAACAAACTGTTAACAATTCATAACAACTTCGGTCAAGATGCATTATACTTTAAAAAATATTAAGTGATACACAATCACCTCACCTCTTCTATTAAAATCCATGCATCATGCTTAGGATAAAAAAGATGCCATATAAGGAAAAAAAGGGAAAAAGTTATTGTAGTTGAATTAATGCGAAACAAGCTAGAAAAATTAGAACACCACCAGATCCCCAAACATCTTTTACATTCTGACAACACTGACCATACAAATGCAACACATTATAAGAGATAAATAACCAAAAAAAAATGAATAACTTGTATGCCACAATTTTAATTGCAAATAAAACTTTAAAAAATAGAGGCCTGATACTGTAACAATGATCCTGTTATTCAGATCACAAAAACTACTACACTAACTGGTGTAAACCAAAAAACAGCAACCACCAACAATTCTGATAAGATGCAAAGTGGAGGGAATTGTTGCATCCCATTTTCCTAAACTAGGAATGACAAGCATCTCTGACAACAATATATCCCATAATTCCATTCCAGTAAGCACAATCACATAATGTTCAAGAATAATATTACCTATACTGACTAACAAAAAAAAAAATTACCTAAACTAAAATCCCCAACTCAGGACAGCTATAGTATGTGTGAACTAAATTCATTTCAATCTAGCTAAAGTAACAAGCACAAATATGTAAATCATATGAATACTAGAACAACATCAAACTGCGAACAATACTAGTTAATATAAAACGAGATATAATTGTCATGTATGAGATAAAATGGTATAGAAGATGACCTATAAAGCTCTTCAAAGCTAAGGCCACTGGCATTGTGATTGTAAATCTCATGAATGGCAAACTCCAGTATCTTCCAAGTCTTGTCGGCGTATTTTGGATCAACCACCACCTTGTGCTTAAACGCCTCTATCTGAAACACCCTTTTCTTCTGATTACTATTCATTTTCTCTCTCCCAATCTCTCTCTCTCTCTCTCTCTCTCTCTCTCTCTCTCTACATATATAAATTTATCACAGAAATTTTCAAGCACACTAATCTTCGATTGTTAGCTCAAATCAAACACCAGAATCACCCTTAAAATCAGAACCAGAAAAGTCAATCAATAACGTCCCAATAAACAGTTAGAAGCCTAGAAATGATCTGAATTCAATTCTCTCTCTATATATGTATATATATCCATACATGTGATTAGAAATCCGGCGTTATATCAAATCAAAAGGTGAAGAGCACTTGAAAGAAGAGATCAATGAACTAACTTGGAAAAAAAGGAAAGGGTAAGAGATGTGAATTGAAACTCAGGTTTTCGTAAACCTGAAAACGTTAATTTACAGAGATTTTTTTCATACGAGGAAGACACACTGAGCTTAAGGGGGTTTTGACATGGTGGAGAATAAAACTTTAGATTGAGTCATACGTTAAAGTAAAACCTCAAATTTGGGTTACAGCTTCGGACATTGGAGGAAGGCCACTCTGTGAGACACAGAGAGAAGGGGAAATGTATCTGTATATTATTATTATTATTATTTTTTATTTTGGGTCATTTAGTTTTTGTCTTTTATGTGACGCATACTACATAGGTGTTTTTGTTTGAGTTGATCATATGTGGTGACAGTAGGATGGTAGTAGATACATACGGAAAAAAGGTCAGTTGTTATTGTTTTTTTTTTTTTTCAAATCGTAGAAATTAATTGTTATAACGATAACGGAAGTGGAGGCGGAGGCGAAGGCGAAGGCGAAGGCGGGGATAAAGACGAGGATTAGAATTTATCCCCGTAACGGGAATGAGAATTAAAATTTAACCCATTAATAGAGTGGACCGAGGGTAAACGAATTGTTTTTAACCAAGTACCAGAATTGAGATTATTTTTCGTCTCACCCCAATACGTTGTTATTTTTAATGTTTCAAGTTAGTAGTTAAAATTCAAATCAAATAAAAATAAAATCAAATAATGTTTCGCTTAAGAGTTATTATCTAGGAAAAACTTTAACCACACTCCCTCTAATTTATCATATTTTAAAAGATATCCCTTTTTATTTTCTATATCTTCACTGACACTCTTATAAGATTAAAAATATTAACTAAAATATAATTTTACTAATTTTTTCATGATATATTTGAGAACAAATTTCATCCACACCCCTAGATAGGCATATCTTCAATGAAACCTCCTTTATTTTTTAATTTTTTTTTACGTATTAAAATTCGGGAGATTAAAGTTCGATTCAATCTAATTAAAATTTATTTTTTTACATATTAAAATTTGAGCCGATTAAAAATTATTTTTTTACTAAAATTTGGGCTAATTAAAATTCTATTTGAGCCAATTAAAAATTATTTTGGATCGATTCAAATTAAATTTTAATTAACTCGCATTGAATTTTAATTAGTCAAAATTTTAATACATAATAGAATATAAATTTTAATTGACTCAAATTTTAATAAATCGACTTTTAATTAACACGAATTTTAATAAGTAAAAAATTATAAATTTTAATTGAATCGAAAGTGAATTTTAATCGGCGCTAGCAACTCAGGTAGTGTTTAAATCGACTCAAATTTTAATACATAAAAAAAAATTTAATAGGCTCGAATTTTAATAAGTTAAAAAAAAATTTAATTAGTTTCAATCGAATTTTAATTTGTTCAAATTTTAACATGTAGAAAAATAAATTTTAATTAGCTCAAATTTTAATAAAATTTTATGTAAAAAAATTGTTTGAGGTTTATGTAGGAACATTTTTGGTACTTTAGGTGAATTTTTTTTTTGTTAGAAATGGTAGTTTAATGGTAAAAGTTGTTAGTGATATTTAAATATAAATTAGAAGAGGTGTCAGTGTCTTTGAAGATATAGTAAACTAAGAGGGATGTAACTGAAATTTTCTCTATTATATATTGATCGACTCTCCTCCCATTTTTATAATCAAAATAAAAAAAAAATAAAAAATACATAGATTAATTCTAAACTATTCCGTCCAAGATTCGAATCGTGAATGTTGTGATCGATCATGACACAAATCCACCCATGCCTATAATGATTATGGTTATTTGTGAATGTTATGTACCGTGGTGGGTTAGAGAATGCTATAATCAATTACATTAGCCTTTACAAATTATAATTTAACTTTTATAAGATTTATTTTTTTATTAATTATAACATTTTTTTGATTCAACATTAATTTTTGAATTATAATTTGACACTTAAAAATTATAATATAATTTGTAATAATTATTATTTTTTTGTTTCTCTTTCAACATCGTAGAGTAATTAACCTCACGTGGATAATGTTAATAAGTTTAATTAGCATTATATGAATAAGATATTAAATTTTTGTTATTTTCTCTCAAGTATTGGCCTACATTCTTATTTTTATAAGAGAATTTTTCCTTATTTTTCCTATTTATATGTATTTAGTGAATTTTAGTTTATCAAAAAATTATGAGCACGAGTTTAGTTGAGTGATAATAAAGTCTTAATTTTAAATTTTTAATTCACATGTTATACAAATCAACTTGAACATGACGCTATAATAAACAAATTAGGTAATTAGATAGGTTAAAGTTGGTTAGTGTTTGATATGAAGTCAAATTGGCACAACCCAATTACAATTTGATCCATCTCAGTCGCCACCAATACTAAAAATCAAAATTTAATTTTGAAACGATAAAATTAAAATTCTAATACTTTAAAATATATTTCAAATGATTGATATGTTTAGCCCCCCCCCAACATGGATAAATATCTTACTTCTAATGTGGAGGTCGCTCGTTCAAAATTTCCCTACTCGATAATATTCAAAATAAAAAAAAAAGTATTTTAAAGTGTTTCAAAATATTTGAAAATCTTTCTATATGTTTTTGCAAATGTATCGGAGTATTTTGAGATGTTTTGATATGAGTTAACTAATATTATAAAAATAAATTCTCAAATTTTTTATTCTATGTTTATGAAATATTTTTAAAATATTTTCAAAACGTTTTGATTATTTACTCTAAAAAATTATTAATATTTGGTAGAATTATACTTAATTTTCTTAAAGTTTATTATTTAATTATTTAGATTCCTTGATATTTATAATATTACACACAAACTCCTAAAAATTTGTACCCGCATAATTTTTAGACTCCTGCCGTCAAATGTCCATTAGCATAAGTGTTACGTGTACAAATCTCAAGAGATTTATATGTAATATTTTATATGTTAGGAGAATTGAGTGATTAAATGACAAATTTTATAAGATCCGGGAGTAATTCTTTATTATTATTATTATTTTTGAAGCCATCAAACGAAATTTTGATTATTGACCCTGCGTGTCGATTAAGCAGAAGCGGAGACTACACCTTCCCATGCTCACCCACCCACCTTATATAAACCCTCCCAAACTGCAAACCAGACACTTGTCGTCTTCTCTCCACATTTCAATTTATCTTCTAAACTCTTCCTACTTCACTCTCTCCGATCCCAGGTATAACTCTTTGTACTTTCATTCTTGTTCTGATACTGCTTGAATTTCTCTGATTTCGATGCTTATCTGTGGTGAAAAAACTCAGAAGAGGTCAAAATGCCAGAAGATCAATGTGCTGAGCGTGCTCTGTTCGGTGGAGCAATAGCCAGTACGTTCCCACTTAGATTTCAGGTAAGTTTATGAATTTTATGCTTATGTTTTGTGGGTTTTGAATTGATTTAACATATAGTGAAAAAATGTGTTGAATTGTAGGATGTGAGCGATATACGTCAAGTCCCTGATCATCAGGTTGGTTGGTGAATTTGGTTTACGCTTCTCCTCCTCTATGCTTTTATTTGATTGACTAGAATGGGTTTCTATAAGCATTTTTGGTTTTCATTTTTGGGTTTTGAAGGAGGCATTTGTGGACCCTGCACGTGATGAGAGCTTGATAATTGAGATATTAGATTTGAAGCTTGATGTTGCCGATAACGGAAGTGCTACTTGGTTTCTTCAAGACCTTGCCACAGAACAAGATGCTGAAGGACGCACGGTAGTCCCCATTTCTCACGTTCTTTTTATAGTTTCTTATGGCGATGTGTTGATGATTTTGGCTTTACTTTTATTTGTGCCATGATGTGTTTATAATGCAGAGTAGTTCATTAATAAATTCCTCATGAGGGGATGACATTATGGAGATATTGATTATGGTTGTGTTGAGAGTTTTTATAAAAAATTTTGGAGAAAGAATGGCATTAAGAATAATTTATTGAAGGATTAAATCAAATATGGAGGAAATGTATCAACTAAAATTTTGAACTGCCAGGGGTGTAAAGTATCTGTAGTAGTTTCTCGCTCATAGGATACTCTTGAAGTTCCCAAAAATGTTGGGACAAGGCTTTATTGAGTTGAGTTAAGATGTAGGTAATGTTGAAATTGATGAAGTGATTTTTTATTTTTGGTTTTAGCCTTTAATAGGAATGTATGATATAGAACAGATGTAGGGTGTGTAATTTCACATGTGAAAATTGAATTCATAGCTTCTTGTTGTCTATGATGTATTTGTACCTTCTCCTAAGTATTTCATTGTTGGAGATCAAAGGAGGAGCTTATCTGCTAGCTTAGTTGGTTAAGTCTCTTGGCAGTCATATTCGTAGACCTGGGCCTGAATCCGCCTTCACTTAACTGGCGGGATTATGGACGGGTGGATGTTTACCCTCCATTGTGTAGCCCATCATTACTATCAATCCAATTAAAGGTAATAACTCTAAAAAAAAAAAATGTAAGAGAAATATGAACTTAGTTGTAGCATTGTGAAAGTTTGGGTTTAAAATGTGCATTCAGCGGTTCTTGTTGTGTATGATGCGTTTCTAGTATACTACTTTCCATTTAGTGTTGTACACTAAATGGAAAACAATTTTGTATTTCATAACATTTGGTATAGGAGTTTGACTTTTGGTAGTTGTGAGTCAATCCGACAGTATGTAGTTTGTCATTTTACTTATATCGTGCAGCTGATTGAGCAGTCAGGAGTGTTTGAGGCAGAGGGGTTGCATTTCAGAAACATGCCTGTAGTCATTACAACTGCAGTCGGCCAAATGGTATGTAAAACATTACTTGCACCTAGCAGAAGTTAATTTTGACTTGTTAGTTTCAACTTTCTTCTGTTTATGTGCTTTTAGGTTTCTTCAAATGTCGCATACTGCAGTTATGGTGGTGAAGTGTTTGTTTTTTAAAAAAATTGATTAACTAGTGCAAGTTTTTGGATGACTTCACATTGTTCTGCTCATCGTTACATAGTATCAAAATTTATGCAACTTGGCAGTATGCATCATTGTCTGTCACTTTTTATGCAGGTGCAGTTCGTTATTATCACTTTCACTGATCAAGGGTAATATGAGCTGACTTAAAAGAATAAAAAAGAAAAAAGGAGAGAGAGAGAAAGAGAGAAAGAGAGAAAGATTGGCAATGCAGCACAAATGCAATTTAAATATCTGTTTTCTGTTAAAGTTATTACACTCCTTATTAAGCTTTCCTAGGGCTAAACAACTTGAAAATGGGGATTGTCATGACAGATGTAGGGGCTGTGAAGGAATTCAAGGGAGAATGAATTGGACTTTCCCTTCCTTTATGTGATATCTCATGCTTGAACAGAGAGGCATAATTGCAAGATAAAAAGCAGCAATATTAACTTGGAGCTCTTGATCTCTCCGCTCCCTCGTGTGTTGATTGTGCATATTTGTGCTTTGCCTTCTAATCTTCTCATTGAAGATATCTTCATAGCTTGTTGTAAATGCTTGGGTTGTTTCTAATCATTAAGGGTGGGGTATACAGAGCTTAAGTAGGATAATGACATCTTCAAAGAAAAAAGGGGGAAGTCATCACATGGTCCTTTTCTTATGTTAAAAAAGCTCAAGGCAGGTCCATGAGAAGATTTAGTTCCTCCAGCTTCAAAATCGGGCTTATCCAGTGGCGGTTGTGTTGGTGTTGTAGTTGTTTCATGCCGTAGATGCCCGCTCTGATGGCTTTTGGAAAGCGCCTTTTCCTTTCTTCTAGCTGTAAACCGGACCACTCTTCCTGAAATAGAAATGAGGAAGGTATGGAATCTGGTCCGACCACTACTTTACTATCTTCTTTTTCTCGCCTCTATATGATAAATAATTAATTAAGTAGAGAGAGAGAGGGGGGAGGATCATGAGGAATGATTGAATCAATCTATCTGACGAGGGAAAGAGGATTGGCCACCAGATAATTTGGTTGGTTATTGTAATAATAGTAGGTATTTATAGAGCTCTAGCTCACATAAAAATGATCTTTGAGTTCCTATAAACTTCATCAAGGCCGAACATGGGTGCTTTGAGATGGCATAAAATAGTCATCTTATTTTCTGTGTTGCTTTTTCTTGGCTACATATTTGTCAACCAAACTAGAATACGGTGTAGACCCCATAGAACAAAGGAGAGCTGCTCTACAGTTGAAATGTTTTACAGCAGTAAATAGGATAGAAATGGAATGAAAAGGTTTAGAGTTCAAGATGTATTCAAAATGTGGGAAGTGGGAAGATCCATGTCTAACATTGTATCCTAAATTAATCATCCTATAATTGCCTAGATTAATGGTAGTACTTCATTGAACCCACTGCAGTGTGGACAATATGGAAAGATGATTGTGCAGTGTTAGGTGATCCATGATCGGGTGTTTAATTGAGAAATGTTCTGTAATAGCTGAGGTTAGTCATAATTCAGAGTTTTTGGGTAGTCACAAACATGCTTATAAAATGAGTTTTGATGAGGATGTTGTGATAGGTGGATGCAGATATGGAAAGAATCAAATTTCTGGGGAATCTGTCCATGAATATTTATTTATTTCCCACTTGTTGGTCAATGACTGCATAACAAAACTGTATCTGTTTACTGCTTAAAATTCTTAGCCAAGGGCTTTTTGGGGTATATGGATGCATCCTCTGTCAGCATACATATGCACTCTTGGATCATCTCTCTCTTTCAGCCATGCCCTTAAATTGTGTACATTATGTATCACTAACTTTGGTACTGCTTATGCATAGGCCATCTCTAAGGGACGACAAGGAAGGGAAGCACAAAATATAGTACGGGTAAGTTTGCCTTTTGTTTTCATCAGTGTCTCTACGTTGTTCCAAGCAGCCAAATGGAATCTATAACATTGATTTGTGCAGGTGTATTTGGCGAATTTGCGTCTTAAGGAAGTTGGCACAGATATACTGATCACTGCATATGAGCCCATCTTAATAAAGTATGTACAAAGGATAAGCTGTTTGATCTTTAACCAGATATCTTTTGTCACCCACCTACACACACACAGAGAAAGATGTTTCTGGTAAATATGTGTTGTTTTGGTTTGTTATGTGTACAATGATTACAATTCCTTGCTTCTATGTTCTGTTATTGTGTTGCAGCCCTTTCAGTGAAAGTGCTAGTACGGTTGGGGCTGGTTTAGCTGTACCTGCCGCACAATCTGGGTGTATGCCAATGGCTGAGGTTTTTAAACTTGCTGTCTCTAGCTTCAAAGTTAATGATTGGAGTCTTTTTGGCACCGCTACCGACGCAAACAACCCCCAGCTGTCCTGATACAATGGTCAGGCTTGGCTCCTTGGCTCAGACTATGGATATTTAGTACCATCTGTTCTAACTTCTTTCTTGGAAAAGAATTTGTTGGAACATTTGGCCTTGCTGTTACATTTAAGTTTGCTATGAAGTCTGAATATTTGTTGGTGGTAGTATGTTTGTAAATGCCAGTAGACTGGGCTGCTGTGGGTCGTGATTCCTCAAGCAGGAATGTGAAATTTTTTCCTTATCCTGATTGAACAATAATTTTCGTTTTGCGGATTTTTGGGGTCTTAAATTGGCCATATTTTCAACTTCTTAATCAAACACTGTACATTTTGTTTTTGTTAGAAAATGTTCAGCTTCTGTTCACATTACGACTACTCGACTGAAGCTTTGCGGGATTTGTTCATATTACAGGTTCGTTGGTGATGGGTTAGATGGTATTACAAGTTGTTAAATATTAATGCAGGCAAGGCATGTGGACAACTCCTTAATCTGAGGAAAATCTCCCCATGAAGCTTTTGGAGCAGGAGTATCAATCGAGTCGTGTTGTGTGATGTGTGGAACGTGTCATAGGGTGTCAGTGTGTGTCTGTGTCTGTGTCAGTTTTGTAGTCCTTGTATTAGAAACGGCAGTATAAGAATCTCTTTTTTCCATCGCACTTAGAATTCCATAAATTAAAAATGTATTCGATAAATTTCTTAGCAAGGTCAAATCTAATTATTTAATTATGCAGCAATACTTTATTAGATAAAAAAAATAAAAATAAAAGTGTATATGCTCTTCTTATTGTTAATTTGTGTTTAGTCTCCAGTAAACATGTGATTAATGCCCCTATCCAACCCCAAGAAAAGACATTCTTACTTGATAGAATTATCCTGAGATATCCATACCTGATAGAAGTATACTGAGACATCCCTACCTGATAGAACTACTGGATTCCTATTAGGCCTAGGTTTTGCTTTATTTTTGTCCTAAATTAATTACTAAGCTATGCTATTTATATGTTTGTCAAAGGTAACATCACTGTCATGAAAAAGTCTTAGCCATATGTGAGAGTGCAATATAGAGGATTAGATTTTGCCATTTGAATTTGGTTACAGGATCTATCTTTTTGCAGATAATAGTGGGAAAGTCCTCCTTCCCACTTTGAATAAAGGACCACTTTCTCTTTATAATATCAACCAAAACATGATGATGAAAGAGACTGAGATAGAGGGACTACTTCCCATGTTCTGTATTTTTGTGCTTTAGATAGATATGGTGCTCAGAAAATCATTGACAGGCACTGTTTGTTTGTAGAATATTTGAACATATAGCACTGTTGCTGCAAGAAGAACCCTTCAAATGCCAACTATGGTTAGCTCGATGTCTGTAGTTTTCTAGTGATTGAATGCATCTGAAGTCTGCATTATGGTTATGAAGTTCAGCGTTTCGTATGTTTCAAACGATTGTTCATCGCAAAAATCAAAAAATGAAATATGTAAAAAAAGAAGAAGAAAAAACAGATGCCAATATTGAGAAGGTGCAGTTTATCTCTAACCCCTTTTGTGTTGCTGTTCCTCAATAGTTGAATTTGTCTGTTGGAAGTAGGACTAGGAATGTGCTTGTGTCGTGTGTTTGTATCGTATCGTGATTTGTTTAAACCATATCTATTTATTTATAGTCATCTATAATTGTGTTTGTATGATGTATATTTTGGCTCCTATAGTTATAGCCGGGTTTGAGTCAATCTTAAGATAACTCAAATTTTTCAAATCTTAATTTTGTATCGAATTTACGGATTATATTACAAACTGTTATGGGTAAGGACTACCCTTTATCAAAAGGTGTCAACTGTTACTTAAAGGGTTGCAAGACAAGTGAGGTCGGATACTTGTAACTTTCATTTCACTGGGGTTTTGGCAGAGGCAGAAGTCCACAGTCCACACAGATTCTAATAGCAAACGAGTTGTCCCTTTCATCCTTTTTTTTAGTTTATCGGTCAAGTTATTTGGATTAGTTTATATACACATTGACCAATGTCATCCATTTAGTGATTAGGATATTTCACGAGTGATAAATTTCTCATGACTTAATATTAAAAAATTATCAAAATTTAAACTCAGAACATCTAATTTTATAACTCGTTTCTTTTTTCACATGTTTTTCTTTCATCCCTTTCAGATGACCAGAGAATTACTTTCCCACCCATGGAAGTGGGTCCAGTGGGGGTTACTTGGTTGCACAATTTCTGTGAATTTTTAATGAACCACTCGAGGAACTGTTCTTGAATGGTGTCTTTTTCTGAGTGAAAGCCATCGACTTCCAATAATTATGCCATTGATAGATACATTATACGTAGAGGAGGTCATTGTTGAAATTGGACTTATTGGCCCATGGTTACTCTCTTGACTTGTGTAACAACTTGTGGATTAGGTTTAAAGATGTGTAAGGTGGACTTTTATTTGCAAGAATGTCGGTAGATATGGCTCGAGTCTTGTATACATCCCGTATAGAGCTAAATTCTCTCAATTCATTTAAGGGTAGATCATGTTGGATGCCACACATGAACATATCCCACGGTTGTCTTTCAACTTTTCTTATTTGTACCACCAAAGTTGGTGATTTTGTGATAAATTGTATTCATTTAGGATCGTTCTTAACTCTCTGTGTCATTATTAAGCATTGTTCGATCTACAAGAGTAATGCAATTTGTTACTTGACTTTAGTGGTATTGCAGTGATGAGCTGTCATATTGGGTTAATAGTTATGACTCAAATTGAACATTCAAAAATAGGGGAACTCTCATGGTAACACTTCCGGGTAGGACTGATAATTGAGTCGAACTACTCGGTCTTAGTTCAGATAAGACTCGACTCGAGTTTGACTCGTGTTCTAAACACGATCTTAAAATTTTTTTTTAGGATTATTTAAAAAATGAGCCTAAAAGGCTCTGACTTCAGTTTACAAAACTCAGCTCATTTATATGTAAAATAGACGAGTTGTTCGGGCTCGACTAGTTTTAAGCTCAGCTCGTGTTCAAATTGAGCCAAACTTAATCAATTTTTTAAATTTGTTTAGAAAATGAGTCTAAAAGACTCGGCTCCAGTTTGCAAAGCTCGGTTCGTTTATATGTAAAATAGTCGAATTACTCAAGCTTGACTCATTTTGGGCTTGGCTCATTTTGTAAACGAATCGAGTTTAAACAATTTTTTAGGCTCATTTAAAAAAACAAGCTCAACAAGTTCAACTCTAACTTATAAAACTCGGCTCGATTATCATCCCTATCTAAGGAGTTACTACGTACTAGAGGCCTCTCCCCTCTCTTTTCCTGATCAGAAAAAACTTTTCCTATTTGTCCAAATAGGAATAGTGCCGACAGCCGTGCTATCTGCACTTAAATTTAATCGATAATTATAATTATTGAGTTATTGCGTGTATTCGATATTTACATAAATAAATAACTTACTGTTTAAAAGTCTTAATGACCACAAAACAAAAAACCAAGTACTATTCCAAATCTCGAAAATTCAATAATTGAGGTTCCTATACATCACAAAACATAAAAAATAATTGACGTTTTATTGGTGAGTTGCTTCTACTAGTGGCTCTTGCAGCATTATTTTTGTGTTTGATAATTTTACAGATGATGAAGTTACGTGGAGGAATGATTGACGTTTGGTTCTGTGGGAGTTGTTTGGAATTGGTGGCCTGTCGTGAGTTGTGAATATGGACAAGAGACTATGTGCTGTTGCTTGCTATTACAAAAAAGGGTGTGGAGGGGTAGGGGTGTGCCTTTTGGATCATGTTTGCTTCAATTATATAGATCAACATTGATGGAACTGTCTGCTTTTGAAAACTATGTATGGACTACCGTTTTGAAAACCTAGCTAACTCAATTATAATTCTTATTCCACTGTGTGATTGTCTAACATCGTGGTGGGTTTTCTTGACTTTTGGGTATGGTAGTATCCATGCCATTGTTCTAATCGTGTTGAAGTTTGAACGCATTTCAATGAATGTCATCTCCCGATTCAACTAGCAGGCTCGTAGCGTCTCTCATTAATAGTCATGAATCGAGATCTTAAAACTCAAGTATGTGATGATGAGGCCTTTTGTTGGCATTAGGCTAGAGGCTTTTTTTCTTTTTTTAATTATTAAAAAGAGGGGTTTGGGGTGATTAGGCGTACTAATCTCTCGTGATATTATCTTGAGATTTTTATCTACTATAAAATATTCGATTTGAGTTATAGTTATTGATTTGAAATGATCGAGTTCGTCACTATAATACCATAGAGGACAAATTAGACATTCAGCCCTTTCAACAGTATTTGATTCACATGAATTAAAACTGTAAGTGGATTCAAACCTATAATCACTGGAGAAGGGCGGGACTTTCGCCCTCTATTAAAACCAACTAAGCTACCAAGGTTACTAACTTGGCGAAGTATCTTAACTTATTAATAGACCGTGAGTTCGAGTTTCATTGGTGATGTGCTTCCAAAATTTTCTCGGGCTTGAACTTGAGCTTTATGCTTGGATTCAAGTTTGTAGTGCAAATACAATCCAACATGAATCCAAGTAGCTAAATTTACAACTTTAATCTAGATTAAGCAAAAACTTAAACTCAACAACCGAGTTCGAGGCAAGCTCAAGACGGTGACAATCAATTATAACGAAATGTAAGCATACCAAAACTTGAAAAATTGAACCCTTAAGATTAGTTTAGTGACCGAGTCTATTATATGACAATTTAGAGGTCTCATGTTTAATACTTTACATATCTTCTAAGAGCCAGTTGCCCTTAATCCTCAGAGAATATATTCTAAACTCATTCAAACTACAATAGTCAATCTTTGATCTCAAAAGAAGAGTCCGTAATTATATGAACACCGCTAACAAAAAAAAATAAAAAATAAAACTCAAAAAATTGAGCTTGCTGAAACTTGTCCCCATTTATGGACTGTCTGCGGTTATGATAACTCACGTCAAAGTCATTATTTATAAACCTTAATGGGTGCAACCAAGTACTTGTCGTTAGGGGGATGTTGACACTCTACATTATCATAAATTATGAGAGTAGAATGGTCAATTATATGCTGCAAATAACTACTTTTGAAATTAAGCTCTGTTTTATATGCTTTTCACATATGTGACACAGACTCTTGTTGAAATTGTGGTGCCCAATTCAAATCAAATCATTGTAAAATGATCAATAAGTGTCCACAAAATGTTTCAAAGGTCGATATGCATTTCAAACATCCAATGAAAACACCACCACCAAGCCAATCAAGACCTAGCATGTAAGTGGTAATTACAATAAATTTTAAACTCATATATTTTGAATTCAAATTTTGACAAAAATTTTTGAGGTCAAATCAAGAGAAATTTTTCTCTCATAAATATTATAATTTCAGCGTGGATGACCTGCCTTTAACTGAACCGCAGAAGAGATTAAACAAGATGCTCGTAAGTTGATCTGAACATCTCTCATCGTTAAACCCAAAGTAGAAACACAAACCTCGCGTTCAAACATCAAACATAGCCAACATTGAAATCAATACAATTTAGATGAGGTGTTGAAATCAAGGGCATATGTTTTAATTTGGTCAAATTTAGGACCCATTTTTAATCCTATAGATGGGTTGGTTGAATTCTCTCTATGCTACATCATTTAGTGTTAATTTTATATACAATATGAATTCACAACGAACAAAAATATAAGATTGATAATCGATATAAATTTGATTAAATTTATATAATAAAGTACAATATAATTTAA